TCAAAACTGAATTGTGACTTTTTGTCCTGTGACTTTTTGTCCGTGACTTTTTGTCCTGTGACTTTCTGTCCTACATTCAATGTTAACTGACAGAAAAAACTAAGCCCATTTATAAGTAAATTACGGATAAACATGATTTTTTTTTTACAAAATTTCCTCCTGAATAGTCTATCTTATGATCATAAACAAGCTTCTGTCCAAGTTTGGTAGAAATCTAGGATAGTTTAAGAAAGTAATTAAAATATCAAAAACTTTAATCTTACAGTGAATATTTGTGGATGTCGCTAGCCGACGGCGACGCCGATGACGGAATATAGGATCGCTATGTCTCACTTTTGCGACTCGACAAAAATGTAATAAACTGTTATACTTTGAACATGTGTATCTTATGTGCTGGTAAATAAGAATATATATATACATTCTAAAATATTTTTTATAAAAAAAATACTAGAGAACTATAAAAGAGTAAGCTTAACAAACAAGCAAAAGAAAAGGAACACAAATTAAAAAAATAGTAGAAAATACACTATTACATAGAACTAAGAAATATAACAGACAGAAAAACAAAATAAATACGGCAGTAATAAACAAACGAAAAAGATCAGAGAAAATTGAAATATCATAAATATGTTTAATCAGTATACAAGTGGATCAAAAACGGGTCAACACGAATTTCTATCGATTACACAAGTGACAATCAACGGAGGGTGGCGCGTGTCGATAAAACATTAAATCAATTTATAATTACTAAAGATATGATTTTCAAATTTGAAATTATGTACTTTTAGAAAGTCTCCTTCTATATGCCATGTTCTTTGAGTCAATAATATCATATTTGATTTCAAAATAAGTGCAAAACTTTGTTCTTCGTGCACTAATCGGTCCTTTGCGGTATTTCTACATTTTACATTTTTTGGCGCAAATGAATGCTGCAAAAGAAGAATAAGCGTAGTTAAGTTGTGGCAAATTAATTTTTTTTTCAGCGCAAATGGATATCGGTCTTCAAAACACCGTTTGTACAAAGGTGCATTCATCTTTTACGCTGTCTAGACTGAGAATAAAAGTTTTGGCAATTTGTGTAGGATTTTAATTTCAGAATGTAATAAACAATTAAGAAGATCGGTAAAAACCTTAAGTAAATCGGAAAACGAGCTATGCACGATATAAGGAAATAGTTTGGTGCGCCAATATGAAAGTTCACAGAGGCATGTAATATTTGTAAAATTTGCATTAAGTCTTTCACGGCTGGTAATCTACACACGCAGAACAATCGGTTCTGCAATGAAAACCGTGAGAGGATTTTCCGGTTATGCTTGAGTGGAGTAATTGTCACCGCTTCGAAAGGTATGTACATTTCTAAATCGCAATTTTCTAATTTAACTGATCAAAATATTGAAAATCTGAGAATGCTATGCTGTGGTGAATACTCTAACGAAGAGTCACATGTATCATTTACTGTTGTACATGGAGTAAAACTCCTACAAAATCAATCGTCCCACGAGTAATTGCCGAAAAAGTGACATTTAAATTTTGAGATGGTTCTATTAACAGACCTACAAGTTCAAATTTAGATTTTTTTCTGTCAACGGGATTGAATGTCGTTTTGGGTGGCGTGTACGCTGTCCGAAGTTGACAGACGTCTTAATAAATCTAAAAACTGCCAATTTTCATTATTTCATGCGTGAGGGGATCGGTTCTGATTGAGGACATCGTGAATGCATGAGGGGAAGTGCAATCATATCTATATATAGAAAAATGCAACATTCACTTCAAAGAAAGGCAGGTAACTTGCATAGTTTTATTGAAGTTCATACTAAATATAAATTGACAATGGAAATGGCTACAACGTAAATATAAGTGGATTTAGATTAGATTTATGATTGACTATGTGTTTTTTTTCTCGTGTACATGTATGAAGACTTAAATCTATATTTTAGTTGTGAACGATGCAGAGCAAATTCTATTTCCACAATAGATAAATTTTGGAGTTTGATTTTGTGCCGCATCTTTCTTTGTGTTCCACCAATGTATGCTGATAGGAAAACTCCCCTCCACAGATGTCACATTTTAATTTTTCCGCGTGCTTCTGTCTTATATGCGCCCGGAGACGGCACAAAGTTGAAAAATTCCTCCTGAAAATCATTTGTGTTACACTGCATGAAAAGGCTTGGCTCCCACGTAGACCACAGATTCATGCCTTCTTTTACTATCTTTAGATGAAAATGTCTTGTCACATTAGCTGCACTTTGTGTCTAGTGTGTTTTCATGTACCAGCTTTACTTGGAAGTTCAGCTTTGGAAGTTGAGTATATGACTTATCACACTGCAGGCAATGGTGGCGTGTTCTATCCATCAAAAACATAGATTAAAGTATTTATACATGCACACGAGAAAAAAAACATAGTCAATGTAAATCATAAATCTAAACCATGCACTTATATTTAACGTTGTAGCCATTTCCATTTCCATTGTCAATTTATATTTAGTATGAACTTCAATAAAACTATGCAATGAACTTGCCCTACTTTGAAGTGATTGTTGCATTTTTCTATATAAAGATATGATTGCACTTCCCCTCACGCATTCACGATGTCCTCAATCAGAACCGATCCCCTCACGCATGAAATAATGAAAATTGGCAGTTTTTAGATTTATTAAGACGTCTATCAACTTCTGACAGCGTACACGCCACCCAAAACGACATTCAATCCCGTTGACAGAAAAAAAAACTAAATTTGAACTTGTAGGTCTGTTAATAGAACCATCTCAAAATTTAAATGTCACTTTTTCGGCAATTACTCGTGGGACGATTGATTTTGTAGGAGTTTTACTCCATGCACAACAGTAAATGATACATGTGTCTCTTCGTTAAAGTATTCACCACAGCATAGCATTCTCCGATTTTCAATATTTTGATCAGTTGAATTAGAAAATTGCGATTTACAAAATGTACATACCTTTCGAAGCGGTGACAATTACTCCACTCAAGCATAACCGGAAAATCCTCTCACGGTTTTCATTGCAGAACCGATTGTTCTGCGTGTGTAGATTACCAGCCGTGCTTTAAATAACAACCAGTTGTAGAACTGATTGTTTCGATCCTTCAAATATGTGTGAAAGAATTAATATTTATATTACTTAGTCTCTTTCATATATACAATTGCAGTATGTTTATAAATACTGTAGATTTGTAATTGATCATTGATTGCATGCATAACGTCCAGTGACAAATATTTCATTGATTCGTATGTAAAGAACAAATCAATAACTTTTAATATACAATTGATTGGTTATTTAAGGTGATTCGATCTAAATGATTTGCGTTAAAACTTATGAAACTTGGACAGAAGCTTACCTCTAAAATAAATAAATGTATGAAAAAAAGGTAGAGTTATTTTTTTCATTCTGTATTTTACTCATACATGGACTTAAACACTTTGTACAGTCAAAATAACAGTTTTAACAACAACAGCAGCAATTGCAAGCGACGCTGGTTTTAAAAGAAGTCTTCACGATTTTTTTTATATATCCCTGGCAATCTTCGATTTAAATTAGACTCTGACATTGAGGGGAACACATACCATTGATAACTTGTCTTTTTTTAATACATTTAGATATAGTACGTGTATCTCATATTAAGCCTCATTTATAGAAAGTTATACATAGTTTATTGTGTCAAGGAAATATTTGGATTAAAGAAATATTTGGTGGAGGAGGAGGAGAGAGAGAAACTAATATATTTCGCCGTATTTGTCTCATGTTACAACAAATGTACTACTGTCAAAATGTAATGGAAGGAAATGTTTCCCCTTCGTTTTATACAGCAGGCTATTCCATAGTGTAATGATATTAGTTGCAAACATTTTTTCGAAATCTACATTAAGTTATAATACATTTTAAGTAAGTTTATTTCATTGCTAAACGTTTCTCAATCAAGATAAAACGTTACAACCAATACTATTTTTTACGACTACATAAGTTTTATGTAAAATAGATAGATATAGGAAGATGTTGTATGAGTGACAATGAGACAACTCTCCATCCAATAACAATTTATAAAAGTAAACCATTATAGGTCAAGGTACGGCCTTCAACACGGAGCCTTTGCTCACACCGAACAGCAAGCTATAAAGCTATAAAGCTATAAAGATAATTCACGTTCCATTGAACTAGTTAAGGGTATTGTTTAGGTTAGTTTTTTTTTAACATTTTATAAGATCACATTTGAAATGTTATTAATTACGCAATTAGTATTAAATAAAAAATATAATAATTAATATAACTTGCTTTAATTAAGAAGTGAAATGTTTCCAATCCAATCTTTCCAATCTAATATAGTACAAAGGGTGACAAGGTGATAGAAATATGGTCACTACAGGTCGTCTTTCGGCTGACAGTAAAAAAAAATTCCCAAAGTGGGATATCCGTTTGGTTGTTACTTGCGATGTACAAGTACGCAACCAACTATTAATCAATCCAATCTTGTATTTTTTTTTATCTCGCATTTTTTTTTATATAAAATTATTTCAACTCAAAATAATAAACGAAATAATTTTCTGAAATAAAACCCTAAAAACGATATACCATACGATAGATGAAACGCTAAACCATACGACTACGAAACGCTAAACCATACGATAAACGAAAAGTTAAACGCTAAACCATACCATGTTACATACGACAAATAAAACGCTTTACGATACCATGAACCACACGATATACAAAACCCTAAACGATGGCATTTACCATACGATGAACGAACGATGAACGTACGCTGACCGAACGTTGTACGAACGCTATACGAATGATGTACGAACGATGACCGAACGCTATACGAACGATTCCCGAACGCTGTACGTACGATTCCCGAATGATAAAAGTGTTAACTTTTACGTTACAGGGACTGTACCTGACCATGTTAACTGACTCATTAGTTCAAATACAGTAACCGTTTGTTGTGTTTTATAATATAAAATTTTTTTATTATTTTATGTTTTGCAGGTGATTGTATAATATTTTTTACTCAGTCTAATCCATGGCGACCAGTACGTGTTATTGTCAATGATTCATCAAAAGATGACCCAATAGTCAATATATCATGGTCATTAGATAGTTCTCGTCTCATCACAATCAATAGATCTGTAAGTTAATATATCATGGTCATTAGATAGTTCTCGTCTCATCACAATCAATAGATCTGTAAGTTAATATATCATGGTCATTAGATAGTTCTCGTCTCATCACAATCAATAGATCTGTAAGTTAATATATCATGGTCATTAGATAGTTCTCGTCTCATCACAATCAATAGATCTGTAAGTTAATATATCATGGTCATTAGATAGTTCTGGTCTTATCATAATCAATAGATCTGTAAGTTAATAAATCATGGTCATTAGATAGTGCTCGTCTCATCACTAATCATTACAATCAATAGATCTGTAAGATAATACTTATTTCATTATTCAACTTAATGTTGGGTTTACACGGTTTGATTTTCCATCAGATTTTTTACCTATCATGACAAAAATTGCATTGTGTAAACACTGAAAATTGAATGTCATTTGGTTAATCGAATGGAAATTCGTATTGGGTGAACAGAATGATATGCGATTTAACTGGACAACAGTATCAAATCAGATGAAAAATCATACCTTCAGTTTTGTGAATGATTTGATTCATTATTTTAATGTGGCTTATTTTTTTTTTTTCAAAGTGACATCTAATCTATTAAGAAATGAGTAGGGTACATCTTTTTCATAACAAGCTCCATCTGAATACAAAAAAAATGTATGCCTATGTAAGAAAATGGTATAGAATCATCTATAGTAAAAACTACAATTTTTTTATGAAAAACACATCTGAAGAGAAGTACATTGGCAAACTTTTACAATTTTTAAATACTAATATTGTTTAGAGTATAGCTTTTTGTCTATTGAGTATTGTTTTCTGACTTGTGTTGTTAATATAAGAGTCAACACCAGGTTCAGATATGAACCAGCAGCTATTGTGATTATAATAATCTAGTATAATATGTTTTTAGGGTTCACTTCAAGTTTGGGCATACTCTGGTGCTGAATCTGTGCAATCTGATGCTAAAAGGATAGGGATATCATCAGATGAACATAATGTAGCTCCTCCACATTTAGATATTCTCATAGGAATGGATATGGGCCATGGTGACTTTGTTTTTCAGCAAGGTATGTTATCAATGGTTTTTTTTTTCACTGTAAAAAATAACTTTTTTTCTTAAATATTATGAATATTATAATAAAACTCACAGGGGGTGGTATACTGTAATTTGCTTGTCCATCAGTTTGTTGATCTGTAACTTTTATTACACATTACTTAGCTTGTATAAAATAAAGGAATGATTTGATAATTATTTTGGTACTGCTGAGCAATGACTTCCTGTTTAACAAAAGTTTACATTGAATGAGTATTAATTATTCTTACAGGTCCTCATGCTAAACAACAGACAATAGATGGTAACTATGGTCCTGCCATGGCAACCTTTTTTCCTACATTTACATTTTTTGGAGATCAAGTAAGTGATAATACATTTAACATCATATTCTGATTTTGAATCCTCATAAACATGGTTCACTGTTTGACCTTTAAACTGTTAGAGTGATTTGTAATGATTTCAGTTTATAAATTTTAGAGCTGTTCTAGAAATTGCATTGGGCAGGGATGGTATAAAGGCACCATATATAAATGACATAGAGGGTCTCAATCGTTTTCACACAATAACACATTCAATTTCTAATTTGAATGAAAGGCACATTTTAATGGTAAATTTCCTGTTTATAAGTTATTTTACCAATCCTAAAAATCTTACAAAACAATTTTACTTAAAACTATAAACCATGGATTTTGATCTATAAAACAGTTTTCCTTCTCATGAACATTTCTTATCCTTGTAGAGTCAGACTTGTATTGCAATAGGTAATGGAGATATATTAAAGAGTGATTTTGATGTTCCTCTGAATGCTCCACCTGATAAAGCCGACTATGAATATGAAGCAGCACCTGTCATACTTAATCCTATAATTAAGGTGAGGCTTTTATTTCAACATTTAAACGTCATATTTAAAGAATTGCTACTTCAACTTTTAACTTAAGAAAATTGAAGTACTACTTTTCTTAGCTTCCTAAAAAAAAAATAGATAGAATCATAAAATAACAAAAATATAATCATGTGAAAGCATTATTGTAGGTTACATGTAGCAAATTATGAATGACATTGAGACTGGTTTATGGTACATACTCTTATCGTCATGTGTTGTATGTTTCCATATTTTTTTCCCAGTCTTCTATGATGACTGTAGGATAAAATCTAAATATTGAAATTCTATGCTGCTTTTGGACACAAACAATAGATTCAAAACCAACCAATTTATAAAAAAACCATGCTGCTTTATAATATAATTGTGTTGTTGCATATTGAGTAATTGCATCAATAACTAACAAAATTATTTTTTTTACAGGATAGCAATACAAAAGGGAATAGGATAGGAAATGGACTTGATGCTGAATTGTTACGGTACCATCAAACCAAAGTTATTTTTCTTGGGTTTTCTAACAACATTAATGATCTAATTACAATGGATGACAAAGGTTATATTGCTATATGGAAATATGATGTGTAAGTCAAGTTAAGACAAGAAACTATTTTATCACCTGTTTATATTAATGTGTTTTAAATACTTCTGACATGAATGAATTAACATGGCCAAATAGAATTTAAAAGGTCACACTGTTTTCCTTGAAGATTTTTATATAGAGAGATACAGCTTATGTGTTTGAAAGAAAATGTGGGGTATACACTAATGAGAGCAACCTAATGACACACACAAAAAATGCATCAAGAGCTCAATGCATTGGTCTTTTACCAAGGTTGAACAATGCACAAGTGTCTGTTCAAATTTCAGATTAAATGGTCCTGTGTCAAGAAAGTTGTGAATACATTTAACAGATTATCAAAGATCTGCCATCAATACCATATTTTCCAAGAGACGAAAACATTAAGTTCGAAAAAAAACACTGACTAGTTAGAAATCTCTCTACTCATGTAATGTGCAGTTATTTTATATAGAATTTTGAAGATGTAGAAGAGAGTTTGGTTTAATGAAAGGAATTTAATGCGTGAGTCCATTATTTACAAATTTTGAGAAGAAAAAGTATCACCTGAAATGATCAATCTAAGAATTATAGGAACTGGTGATCAATAAAGACATTTCAATATTCTTGTTCTTTATTTTTTACTACATTAAAGATGATTTTAAAAATTGTATATATTTGTTCTTCAGGAAACAGATAGAAGGAGTAGGTTGGATAGTACCCTATAAAAAGTTTCAGTTATCACCATATAAACTGCTGTATGATCCTGCAGAGGATAAACAGCCCAAGGTAAGATATAAAAAGTTTCAGTTATCACCATATAAACTACTATATGATCCTGCTGATGATAAACAGCCCAAGGTAAGATATAAAAAGTTTCAGTTATCACCATATAAACTACTATATGATCCTGCTGATGATAAACAGCCCAAGGTAAGATATAAAAAGTTTCAGTTATCACCATATAAACTACTATATGATGCTGCTGATGATAAACAGCCCAAGGTAAGAAATAAAAAGTTTCAGTTATCACCATATAAACTGCTGTATGATCCTGCAGATGATAAACAGCCCAAGGTAAGATAGAGAAAGTTTCAGTTAACACCACATAAACTGCCGTATGATCCTGCTGATGATAAACAGCCAAAGGTAATATATGAAAAATTGTGTTAAATCCTTGGAGTATCATGCCACTTTCTACCAAGAATAATAAAGTACAAGAGTAGATTAGATGCTTCTTCTCTCTAAGGTATTATAATTACACACATGAGTGGTGATGCAAAAAAAAAAGAGTTTTATTGTTCTGTCAGTTTGTGTAATTGCCAATTGATCTTTTTATATATTTGTCTACATTTTAAAGTAGATACTTTTAGATATTTGTCGGTACATAATGGCATTGGAAGCCAATCTTATTGGGTGATCCAGAGGATTTTTTTTTGTTTTGTTTTGCATGGCAAAACATCTGCCCTCTTATATCACAAATGGGGGAGTAAATTGTAAAACTTTATTTAGATATAGCCTACAATATTGCTAGTTTGGTATTATTTGTACTGTTATTTTTTTTAAAAGGAAATAAGCTGGTACTGTACAAATTTTAAAATCACATGGTACAGACCATGTGATCTTTTGCTACCATTCCAAATTTGCCCTTTGTTTGTCATCCTTCCATTGTTAACACATAGAATCAAAGTAACCCTTAATAATTTTAGAACTTATCTCCTGAATGGTTCAATAAAATATTGCTAAGGATGCGTATACTAAAGATGGTCACTCCACAACCTAAACAAACATAGCTACCATAGCATATGTACATAGACAAATTGATGTCATGCATTTTGATTAGAATATGTGAACGTACAGAATTGGTTTGTATTTAAACATGTTTCTATGCCTTACAGCTGGTATTTTCTGATAAAACAGTACCTGGACAAAGACCTAGAACCAGACAAGAGATTGCACAACAAAGAGAAATGAGTAGGTATTTGAAAATCAGCTTTTTTATGCCCTTGCCGAGGCGGAGGGGGCATTAAGTGTTACCCTTGATTGTCCTTTCATCCATCCATCCCATTCATTTCCACACTCTAACTTTAATTTTTCTCATCCAAATTTTATAAAACTCATACACAATGCTAACAACCACAACATGCAGACAGAGTTCCAATTTGAACAGTGAGTCGTTTACAGTTCTAGAGTTATGCCCCTTTTTAACTTGGAAAATTGCAAAGCTTGAGCGGGGACATTCGTGTCCTCAGACACATTCATCTTTAATTTTAATTTATTTTTAGAAGTAATATAATATTAAGGGTAAATTATAAATAAACTTAATTCACTTTCAGCTCTGTTTACCTAAAACTTAAATTTACTTATTGTTACAGACCAAATTTAAGACAAATATTTTACAACAGCCTCTTTTGTTGTTTTAGTTTAAAACAGCATTTTGTCAATTTTAACTTGGGAGCCATTTCATACTTGTGCATGTTTTCATCAAAGATTTGGTTATTTTCTGGACCAACTATTAATCCTTTAAACCTTCAGATATGTAAAAAAACAAACTGTTAATATAGTAAACTATAAATACTATCTTGGTCAAGTTACATATAAAAATTAGAAGATGTGGTATGATTGCTAATGAGACAACTCTCCACAACAGACCAAAAGACACAGAAATTAACAACTATAGGTCACCGTTATGCCTTCAACAATGAGCAAAGCTCATAATGCATAGTCAGCTATAAAAGGCCCAGAAATGACAAATGTAAAACAATTCAAAAGAGAAAATTAACAGCCTGATTAATGTACAAAATAATGAACGAAAAACCAATATGTTATATAGTAACAAACGACAACCACTGAATTACAGGCTCCTGACTTGGGACAGGCACATACAGAATGTGGCGGGGTAAAAATGTTAGTGAGCGCCGAAACCCTCCCCATAACCTGGGACATTAGTGTAACATATGAACAAACTATAAAAATCAATTGAAAGGGGCTTAACTCATCAGATAGATACAAAGCACAGATCTGAGAGTACTTGCAGTTACTGGCAGCTAGTTCAAAGCCAATACCAACTAATAAAAAAATTATGCATCTAAGACTAAAATATCAATCAGTACACATCCAACATCCAATGGATTTAGTGTAAAGACGTCATAAACAGTCGGAGAAAAACATGACCTTGTGCAATGCCAAGATACAGGTATCGATAGATTGTAGAGCCATGAATATGCATATGTATATAAAAATAATATTAGCTTGATTTTAGTTTACTGATAGCAAAATCAATATTAATACCAATAAAAACTATATTCAAAGATCTAATTACAGTGTTGAACTGGTAACCTTTTAGAATAAGTTACATGTTCACTAAAAAGCAAAAAACTTTTGATCACTGTTCTTTTAACATTTTATCACACCTTACAACATATGTGTGAATTCTTTTATTTTTCCTTTTCAGTGACAAACACGATAGACAATATGATGTTAGGTGACCCTTGGGATGTAGAATTACTGGAAAACAGAACTATAAGGGTAGGTTTAAATATAAATACAAAAAAAATGGCCATGAAAATCCTATAAATATTTAGATTCCTTTAAAACACTTTTGCAGTATTATTGAGTTTGTTGACAGTTGAATATGTTAAAATAGTCTGATCACTTCAGTAAAGGTTTTCAGTTATTATATCCCTGTTTAATTTAAAAAGTTTTACTGCATCTTGGTGTATTGTTCTATTTAAATCTAGTCTTGATTCTATAAGGTAAGCTTTTTATTAAGGTTTGAAGACAGTTGCAGTGGATTAGTTCAAATGGTTTTTGTCTTACCTGCGTCGAAAAGTCGCACAAAGCGAGACATAGGGATTGCTTTTCCTGACGGCGTCAACAACTGTTAAGTTTTCTGCTCAAGTTAGTTTGATAGGAACTACTTGTGATAGATCATTGATATTTAATATAAAGTTGCATTACTAACAGTTTGACGACTATTTTGAGACCCTGCCCCCTAGGACATGGTCCAGTGACTTTGAATTAACTAGCAATTTTCAATGTTAAGTTTTCTGCTTAAGTCAGTTTGATAAGAACTACTTGTGATAGATCAATGATATTTTGAATAAAGTTGCATTACTATCAGTACATATCAGTTTGAAGACTATTTTGAGGCACTGACCCCTAGGACATGGTCCAGTGACTTTGAATTAATTAGCAATTTCTATGTTAAGTTTTTCTGCTTAAGTTATATATTGATAGGAACTACTTACAATAAACAACGATATTTTCTATAAAGTTAAATTACTGTCTGAACATCTCCGTTTGTCGACCATTCTCAGGCCCTGATCATGGTCCATTGACTGAATTAATATGCAATGTTGCTGTCCATCAGATTGTCTTTTTCTGAATTTTATGTCGATAGGCAAGACATATATCTGTGTCAACAATTTATTTATTTATAATACATGTAATTCTGCTTTATTCGTTAAAATGAATAAAAAATTATTTTTAAGTAACATTCAAGATGAAGGTATGTGTAAAAAGGTCAGATCTTCTGGTATGCATACAGGAGATATTGGTTATTTCCAATGCAGGTCGCTATATAATATATAATATATGACATTGGTTTGTAGTGTTTAATAACATAAGACATTGGTTTGTAGTGTTTAATAACATAAGACATTGGTTTGTAGTGTTTAATAACATAAGATTACATAAAAGAAGTCTTACACCTATTTTATTTCTTTTTCAGTCCAGTACTTATGTACCATCTGGTAAGATAAAAGAATCTGGTGCTATATTTCACATTATATTGAGACATGTGGAGGATAACTCACTCTCTTCTTATGTAACAAGAGCATATAAACCTCTTGAGGTAAGATGTGTTAATTTTCTCATGTCATGACTTATCTAATCAAGTCATATTGTAAAAGGTGAAATCTCACTTATTTTGTTTATTTGCTGTTATAGCTTACTACTAAAGGGAGGTTCTTGAATAGATAAGTTGAAAAATGTGCCTGTAAGGTCCCTGTCACATAGTTAATTATAAGCCCCAATAAAGTTATGAAAGTGATATCATGTGACCTTTTGTTCAGTGATTTTTTTGCAATGTCAATTATATCAGACAGTACTGTAAAGTACAGCAAGATCTGAAATCTTGCTATATGTTCACACTTGTAATACAAAAGGATATGATGGAATTTCATTATCAGTGTAAATGGGATTACATTTCCTTGTTTATTACTATTTATTTATCAAAGTTAAACCTTTAAATAAAATTTGGTGATATTAACAAGTACAAATCCTTTAAACACAGTTCTACAATTCTTTTAGTGCAATGACCTCTAATCTACAATGAAGTAAATGATGTTTGTTTTTCAGAAACAGATGCAATTATTTTTCATCATTTAACATTATTTTATTCACAGACTACCAAACTACCAACAGCATTAGCTTTTTTATTTAGGAGTAAGCTTCTGTATTTGCTTTCAGATTTCAAAGATAAAATATTTTGTAAAGCATTTTATACTCTTTTTCTCAGGTTCAATATACTAAATTAATTGGTGCTAAACAAACTGTCAAAGGTGATGCTATGGTTATAGGAATGCTGTTCAAATCTTATCCTCCTAAAGGTTAGTAAATATTTGTATGACCTTCAGAATAAGAATCTCATGGAACTTTTCATTGTATTATGAACAATTACTGTAGCCTACATTTCAAAGAAAAGTCAGAAAGTTGTAATTAAAAACCATTAATCAAAGAAAGACCAGACAACAACATTACTTTAAAGAGCATAAAATAGAGAGACAAATATCCTTAAAACACAACACAAAAAACTAAAGATTGCGTATCAGAAACTCAGGTGCTACAGATTGGGAAGTAGTACAGGGTGGAAATATATAACATTACGGATAGTGAAGTGAAGAAAAATTTACACAAGAAATTCACTGAATAATCAGTTTTTTTCAGAAGTTGACTAACTCAAAAGATTTTACCATGTTTATTGTTTGGTGTCTGCAATTTAAATCAGCAGCAGTAGCTGAGTAATGTAGACTTTATAATATGTTTAATAACATGGTTAATTAAATGGCACCTACATTTTTCTGAACAAATCATAAATATGTTCCTCACTTTGAATCCAATTATGGATATTATATTAAAATCATATCTATGGTGAAAACTGAAAAAGTGGGGATGTATTTTGCTTTTAGATTTGGGTTTAAAAAAAACCTGATTTTGTAACAGTTTAAATAATTTGATAAAAAATCCTGTATGTTGCAGAACCACACTTTACCTTGAATATATTTCAGTATTACCTTTGTATGACTGAACTGTATATGTTGACTTCTTCTTATAACTACTATATATGAAACTAAAAAAATTTTAACAAAGATTGTCTGACTTGAAATTTTGTCTTGCATGTTTTATCAAGAATACTGCACTATGATTTATATTGTAGAGCCACATTTAACCATTGTTATATTTGATTATAACACCATGGAACTAAGGGATTTTAGAAGAGATGTATATTTGTCAGAAGGAGAATATTCAGAACTGTTAAAAGATGAGAACAAAGTGTCCTTTGATGTAAGTATGTAAAAATTGAGCCTGTTCTTCTGTTGGTAAATAATTGTGAACAACCTTTCATAGAAAATGCTTTGTTTAAGACCACTTTTTATAATCTTTATTGATAAAAACTTTTTATGCTTTTAATCAGTGAAAAACGATTTTTCTCCATTTTTGTATATCCCACCTAGGACAGAAGGGGCATATTGTTTTTAATCTATGTGTCAGTTTGTTTATTTGTTTGTCTTGTATTAGGTTAAAGTTTTGATTTATTGTAGTTAACCATGAAGTTGTGGTCATATCAGTTTGAAACTTAGTACAAATATTCATTATGATGTGAACTTTTTATAACATATGCCAAATAAGGGTTTTGATCTAGAGTGGGGAATGGTGTCTAATTGATACATATTCTTGTTTTTAAATAACTTTTAAGACTATTTTGAGAAAAAAAATCAAAGCTTTTTGTTAATTGGAATCCAAAGAATGTATTTATGTATTTTATAAAAAAAAAAAAAAAAAAAGAATAAATTTCTAGGTTTCAAGAGTATTTGGTCCAACAGGTTCAGAGCATCTATTCCTTCTAGTAAGGGGTGTACTGAGAGTTATCTCCCTTACCACTGGAAGACAAATGGTAAAACAGGAAGAAATCACAGGAAGATTTACAAGTAATTTATATTTATGTATATAAAGTAGTGTTGTCAACGGTTAATCGGTTAACCTGTTAACTGTCGGAAGGACTGAATATCGAATACTAAAAACGCTAACCGGTTAGCCAGACCTTTTTTCAATTCTAATAGGTTTGACATTAATGTGTATTGACATCATTTAAGGAATGACTGTAATATTTTTTCTGTCTATGAAGAAATAACATCAAAAATGTGGTGCACACTGAATAACCCGCGTAGCGGGTTATTTTAAAGTGTGCACCACATTTTTAATGTTATTTCAAATAGACAGAAAAAATATTACAGTCATTTCTTATAATTTAATCCTTAATTCCATTTTAAACCGGAGTAAATCATGAAAAAACATTGATGACGTCAAGGTCACATGATAAAATAAGGTCTATGAGCTGATAAACAAAACAACGTCAGTCAATCGGAAGACGCGTTACATCCAAAATTAAATTATTAATAAATGTTTAAAATGATAGTTGTGCTAATTAATTGACATATCAATTGTCCAGTATATTGATTGCTATTGTTAACCTTGAAAACACTCCAATTTTACAAAATTAATTAATTAGCTCTGTCTGCCTACTGTAAAAATTGGTGCAAACATGAAAAATCTGATAAAAAATCTCTAGACAGTTATTTGAATAAAATTATGAATACTGTTAATTTTCGAATATCTCATTTTGAAAACAATTCTGAAATTAATAATAGGGTCCATGATATTCCCATTTCTAGAATAAAAAATAAACTCCAAGTACCTGCAGAGCGGTTTGTTTTCGTACCGGCAGACAAGGCAGCCAATAATGTAGTGGTAGTATGACGCATATACTACGCGGAAGTTCTTCAAAACGAAATTATCAATTCCTCTACATTCAGGTCCGTACGCACCACTGAGAGTCAAATTGTTAACAAGCATATCACTGCCACTACCCAGCTTAAATCCTCTTCCGAACATTTGAAAGTCCCTACCATGTACTGGTTACAGAAATTACGCAAAAAACCATTTAAATTCCATTTCATCTCCGCATCTAGTAAGTGTTCTACTACTAATATTTCAGTGCTTCTTACTACCTCCCTAACTACTATCAAAGAACTGGTTATTAACTTTTGTAATACATTGTAAAGCTTATGAAAATAATGGTATTAATTATTTTTGGGGTGTTAAAAATTCTTTAGAAGTTTTAGATAAAATACATGCTTTTGATGGTCCTTTTGGTTCTGTTGACAGTTATGATTTTTCTACTCTCTACACTACCCTTCCACACAATCTAATAAAGAAAAAATTTCATATTTAATAAAATGGTCTTTCGAAAAATCTCATTGTAAATTTATTTGCTGTAACTCGTTTAAAGCCTTTTTCTGTGACGAAAAAGGAAAGTATGCTAGATACACTTACTGGAAATGTGAGGATATGATTGAAGCATTTTAATTTTCTCCTAGATAACATATATGTACGTTTCGGCGATAAAGTGTATCGTCAGGTAGTAGGTATTCCTATGGGCACTAACTGCGCCCCTTTAATAGCAGATTTATTCCTGTATTGCTATGAATTTCAGTTTATGACCAAACTCAGTAGAGACACATCATTGTTACATTTGGTTGATACATTCAACAATACCTACTGTTATCTGGATGATATTTTTTCGTTATATAATCCAGAGTTTTCTAAATAGACTACCAAAATTTACCCAAAAGAACTTACTTTAACTAAATCTAACATAAACAGCAGCAGTTGTCCTTTTCTAGATTTAGACATTTCAATTTCTAAAGGGAAACTCCATACTAAAATTTACAACAAAAGAGACGATTTTTCATTCCCTATTGTTAATTTTCCTTTTTTAGAGGGCGATGTGCCTTTGGCTCCATCATACGGTGTTTATATATCCCAACTCGTTCGGTAAGCCCGTGTGTGTAGTGATGTCATAGATTTTAACGAACGTAATCAATGCATCACTGGTAAATTATTAAGTCAGGGATTTCGTTACCATAAATTACTTAAAACTTTTACTAAATTCTTTCATAGATACAAAGATTTGATTAGTAAATTTGGCTGTACCTGTAGAAAACTTATTAAAAATGGTATTTCACATCCTAAATTTTATGGTAATATTGTACTTCAAGCGCGGAAATCATTATGTGATCCGTGTAAACTCATCGAACCTTTAAACAAACTTATTAGTAAGGGTTATCGTACCAATGTTGTAATTAGATCTCTGAATATAGTTTACATTGGCACTAATATCGATTTTGTCATTAGCAAATTAAAACATAACTAAATTTGTATTTTCTTTTCAAACGGGATGTATAGAGACACACACACGTTCATTTTTATCTATAAAGAAGTCGCTCCTATCGATTCTGTCATTAGCAAATTAAAACATAACTAAATTTGTATTTTCTTTTCAAACGGGATGTATAGAGACACACACATGTTCATTTTTGTCGAGCCTTCGACTTTTGTCGAAAAAGCGAGACATAGTGATCCTACATTCCGTCAGCGTTGTCGGCGGCGTCCACAAATATTCACTCTGTGGTTAAAGTTTTTGAAATTTTAATAACTTTCTTAAACTATCCTGGATTTCTACCAAACTTGGACAGAAGCTTGTTTATGATCATAAGATAATATTCAAAAGTAAATTTTGTAAAAAAAAAATTCTATTTTTTCCGTATTTTACTTATAAATGGACTTAGTTTTTCTGCCAGGAAACATTACATTCACTCTGTGGTTAAAGTTTTTGAAATTTTAATAACTTTCTTAAACTATCCTGGATTTCTACCATACTTGGAAAGAAGCTTGTTTATGATCATAAGATAATATTTAAAAGTAAATTTTGTAAAAAAAAATTCCATTTTTTCCGTATTTTACTTATAAATGGACTTAGTTTTTCTTCCAGTTAACATTACATACAGTCTGCAGTTTAAGTTTTAAAAACATTTATTAGATTCATAAACTATCCTGGATTTTTACCAAACTTGGACAGAAGCTACTTACAATCAAAAGATAGTATAGAGAGGAATATTTTTATTAATTTTTTTCCTCATTTTTGTTGAGCCTGCGATTATCAGCAAAAGTAGGCGAGACACTGGGTTCCGCGGAACCCTTACGAATTTTTATCTATAAAGAAGTCGCTCCTAACTATCCTACTACCTGTTGATACATTTATTTTTGGCATTGCACAAGTCATGTCTTTTTTGACTGTTCATGAGGTTTAAATACTAAATCCCTGGGATGTATTTTAGTTGATTTTAGTCTCTGATGCATGATTTTTTATTATTAATTGTTTTTTGGTATTCCTAAACGGAAGATTTTATACACACAGAAGAAGAGGTATACTTAACAACAAAATTATTTTCATTTACCTGTGTATAATATGACGCAGGTTTCTTCAAAAGTGATGATTTTCTATAAATTGTTTGAAATTTCACAGTGATATCATACTTTAACTTTGTTTAAACCTGTTTATTTACTTTTGACTTTAATTATTTATCCCTTGTAATTTTTTATTAACTGTGTATTTGCATTCAGGTGTCACAGGTCAAATTTATTCGTTCATTGTGTGTTAATTTACGTTTTTTGATTGAGTTAAGCCTTCCAATTGATATTTTATAGTGTGTTTTTCTATGTTGTGATGTTGTACTGTTGTTTCAGAGAAGGGAGAAGGTTTGGTACCATTAAAACGTTTAATCCCGCTGCAAATGTTTGCACCTGTCCTAAGTCAGGAATCTGATTACAGTATTTGTCGTCTGTTTATGTAGTTCATATGTGTTTTTCTCGTTTTTAGCTCACCTGGGCCCAAAGGGCCCCATGTGAGATTATGCCATCACTTGGCGTCCGTCGTCGTCGTAAACTTTTTCAAAAATCTTCTCCTCTGAAACTACTGGGCCAATTACCTTCAAACTTGAACTAAATGTTCCTTATGGTATCTTGTTTATAAATTGTATTCGAAGTTTGTATCCATTGATAAACATGGCCGCCATGGTTAAAAATAGAACATAAGGGTCAAATGCAGTTTTTGGCTTATATCTCAAAAACTAAATCTTTTAGAGCAAATGTGACATGGGGTAAAATTGTTTAATTGGTCAAGGTCTATCGGCCCTGAAATTTTCAGACGAATCGAACAACCCATTGTTGGGTTGCTGCCACCAAATTGGTAGTTTTAACAAAATTTTGCAGTTTTTTGTTATTATTTTGAATATTATTATAGATATATATAAACTGTAAGCAGCAATAATGTTCAGCAAAGTAAGATCTACAAAAAGTTAATATGACCAAAATTGTCAATTGACCCCTTAAGGAGTTATTGCCCTTTAAAGACAATTTTACACAATTTGTTCATCAAGTTTGCTAACATTTAAAAATCTTCTCCTCTGAAATACAGGTGAGCGATTCAGGCTCTTGAGAGCCTCTTGTTATATAGATTAGACCGTTGGTTCTTCTGTTTGAATGGTTTTACACTAGTAATTTTTTGGGGCCCTTTATAGCTTGCTGTTTGGTGTGAGCCAATGCTCTGTGTTGAAGGCCGTACCTTGACCTATAATGGTTTACTTTTATAAATTGTAACTTGGATGGAGAGTTGTCTCATTGGCACTCATACCACATCTTTCTATATCTAACACAAAGATTGATTGATTGATTGTTGGTTGCTTTACGCCGCATTAGCACAACAAGGCTATATCGCGGCGATCTAACACAAAAACAACTTGTATATCAGCTCAGGGCAAGATCTAAAGTAAACATAATTAGTGTACATTTATTTCGAACTGTTGTAAGCTGGTTAAATTTTACGATTTACTTCATTATTTCACTTTGATATAATATTGCATAGACCTACATATAATAATGCCACCTCCATCGTCTAAGAAATGCAGACTCAAAAATGGTAAAACGCAAATTATGTGAATGGAATTTATGTATAATACCGTGTGGTATGAGTAACACGCTTACTTACTTACTTACTGCCCTTAACGCCATTGGCGAGTAACACGCTTAATTATCTCAAATTGAAACACTCCACATAATTTTCTGAGACACCAGAGAAAATGAAACAATCACCAGTTTCAGATTTTGTCCATTCGCCGATATCAAGAAAGTTTTTGTTTTCTAGATCTGAAGTTATCACAAACGCCATAGTAGATATGGTAGTATCGGATTATTAAAAATGGCACTTTACCAGGGCTGCTCAAAGCCAAGACTTGTAATGCCCAAGCATATACTTCAATTCATCTATCATTAAACTGTGCATTTGTAGAGAGTATTGAAAATCTTTAACACATTAACTTAACTATTGGTTAACCGGTTAATCGGTTGATAGATTGTTCGAGTAACCGGTTAGACAAAACTGTTCAATTTGACAACACTAATATAAAGTAAAACTGTTTTTCCAAATCCCAATCTTAAGGACCCTTCTTTATTTAAATTTTCCTTTCCTTGAATGGATTAAAACTATTTTGGAAAGGTAACTGTATAAAGTTTGAGTTTATCCTCAATTTCATGTCTTTCACTTTAGAGTTATGTCCCTTGAATTAATCAAATTATAAATTGTGTTCAGCTATTGTATTGAAATTTTTATAGTTATACAGTTTACTTTAATATTTGTTTCATTAAAAAGACACATTGAGTTGAATTTTAACCATATTAAACATGCAAAATATACCATGGATTATGTCTGGTCATCATGAGTTTTTATCAAACTGTAGCAAAAAAATCAAAGAAATATTTTTAAAGATTTGCATTGCAAAATTTGGTAAGAAGAGTTTGTACCAGTCTAGGTTATTATTCCTAATCATTATAACATCAGTTGCCCATGTTTAGCTTCCAATATAGTTAAGGTAACCCAACTTAAGTTTACAAAAAGAACAGACCAGAAATATTTCTAAGATTAAATAAGCATAATTCATTGATGATGATTGATTGTTATAGTCTCTTGTGTGTATAGTTTAGATATTCACTTGGAAAACTGTATGACAATACCATGCATTTTATTTACAGATTTTCAAGGTTGCGTAATAGACTTTGAGCACTTAGATTTACCTACTAATGCAGAAGTTACTGCTGTCAGCACAGCTAATCATTTGTTTGCAGTTTTTTATGACAATGTAGGTATTTTATATTGCTAGAGAAAAATATTTACTAAGTAAGTCTTCACCAGCTAGAATTCCTTCAACATATCTTGTTTCGCTGTATATTATAAGGATATCCATCTAATTCAGGTTATCTTTATATTAGTCAGCCTTCAGTTACTTAGGAATCAATGTAGCACATCTTATTTTCATGCTGATTATGTTGCACCACCACAGTCATCTTTCAGTTACTTTAGAATGCATGCAATGAAGAGAAAAAACAAATGTCTCAGTAATGAAAATTTTCACAATTAAAATTCCCATGGCATAGTTTAATAATTACCGGTATTCAGATGGACTGAGTGTCACCCAGAAAAATGTAGAAATGTGTCTCACTTTGCTGTATTAAAGACCAACTATCTGATATTTTCAAATTCAAACTGAAATTTGCATATGACTAAATAGATCCTGAAATTTAAGCATTTTGTTTTCTGCAACAACTGAGACACAAAAATATCCAGAAATTACCTAATTGTTATAGCCATCGGCAGCAATAAAAAATAATCTTCTGTTTCAGAAATCTACAACTTATCACATTTTGAAGTTTGAAGATGAGAATACAGATGACGATAGGAGAGACATGTGGGAAACTTACACTAATACGTAAGTAATAGGCAACTCAGTATGCATTAGCACTTTATCTAATTTTCAAGAAGATTCCAATTTTGTCATGATGAAATGATATGGAATTGTGTAAGTGATCATTGAAGTAACTGTCATTTATCTTAGCTAGTAACCACAAAAATGGCTAAAGAATGGTCTTATTCAAATAAAATGTTATTCACTACCGGTAAACTATGATTTTGTTACATAATCTTCATTTTGTTTTCATGGTTCAATAAATGAAAAGTTTTGCCTAAATTTTAAGTAGACCAATAATATATACCGGGGTACTTCATCATTTATATGGAAGGACATATCATAACAAGTACTCCTGGCACAGCTGTTTATTTTGTATCCAGTCAAATCAGCTTATCAGACAAATTCAATATTTGGTATATAATAAAAGAAAACAAATGACAAAATCCAGAAATGCATACCTGTATAAACATTGGATGTAATTACACAACAGCAATTTATTAATATTTTCAGAGTAAGACACAGAACAGTACCAGTAGAACTACGTGTTGACACATATACCCACAAAGGCTTACATCATGGAGAAGATGATAGTGATGATATACAGCACCCAGCAGTCATGTCGAGGTCAATCATACTTGAAACTATGGATAATGCTTTACAGGCTTCTGTTAAGAAAAAGTATAGCCCAAAGATGAAGGAAGGACTACAAATCTATGACAAGATTAAAAATTACGAACTGCTAGAGACTCTGGTATGTTTTATAGATAGTAGTAGTTGAAAACATTTTTTAATTTCTGCAACAAAGCATAAGGGATAATTTTACCATTACTATGAATAAAAGGTCATATGATGTAAACATTTAGCAGACAAAAACAAACCCAAAACAAGTTAACTGAAATAAACAACTGAAGGTTATCGTATATTCCTCATATTATCATTAAAAAAATTCTGATTTGCTTATTGTTGACAGACAAATACAAAATTATAAAAGGCACATGTCCTAACAAAATGAAAGCATTGAAATACTTTTTAAATAAATGATTTGACACTTCCATTTACTGATTTGTCTGTTCTTAGTCATAGGTTATCCTTGTTTTGATTATATTTTAATTGTATCCTTAAAGTTTGTGTCAAGGAATTAGGTGTTGATGGCAAATCCATGGTTGATTCTTTTAAGGTTGTTCACATCTTGTCTAAACTCTTGAGGATCTAAGGTGTGCCACATAGTACAGACCCTTGACTAACATCTTGATGTTTTCTTGTTGATGTTTTTTTTTTTTGGGGGGGGGGGGGGGGATGAAGGGGGTGTTATGTAGCTGTGTGAATAAAATATACCCCACATCTCCTTTTATTCATTTTTGAAATTATTCAATTTAGTGATGGACTATTTATACCAACATAATAATCTTCAAAATCAAATATCATGAAAGTTGAACCAGAGGGATGTTACAAAAACATTATATCACTGACCTGTAAAAAATTATGAGGTTAAAAGAACAATTTTATTATTTTATTTCAGGTTGAAGAAGAGAAGCTTCTGTAAAGATCCACATGGTTACTTTCATGCAGTGATAACTATCAGTATGATAATGACAGATATTACAAGAACCAGGATGTTATAGTCATAAGTAAATCTTATCTGAAGACTAGAAATGGCCAATGGAGTTGTTGTAAACGAGATGCCGCTATAACCATGATGACTGAGCCCATCTCTAGCTCACCAGGCCCAAACTACTATCAGTTGTCTGTCATCCATTGTCACACTCTTTTGCTCATATATTTTTGAAATCTGTAGGTGATTCTGTAGGTCATCTGGACAGTGGTCACTACTTAGTGAAAGATTTGTTGGATATGACATCCTGTTGAAGATCAGATAATGGACACATTCAAATATAGTAGAATATACAAAAGTAAATTTTACAAAATGAAAATGAACAACTCTCAGGATTAATCTTGTAATTTAACTTGGAAGAACTCTTGATCAACACATAAAGTGCTTTTTAGCTCACCTGACCTGAAAGGTCAAGTGAGCTTTTCTCATCACTTTGCGTCCGTCGTCCGTCGTCCTGCGTCCGTCGTCCGTCGTCCGTAAACTTTTACAAAAATCTTCTCCTCTGAAACTACTGGGCCAAATTTAACCAAACTTGGCCACAATCATCATTGGGGTATCTAGTTTTAAAAATGTGTGGCGTGACCCGGTCAACCAACCAAGATGGCCGCCACGGCTAAAAATAGAACATAGGGGTAAAATGCAGTTTTTAGCTTATAACTCAAAAACCAAAGCATTAAGAGCAAATCTGACTTGGGGTAAAATTGTTCATCAGGTCAAGATCTATCTGCCCTGAAATTTTCAGATGAATCGGACAACCTGTTATTGGGTTGCTGCCCCTGAATTGGTAATTTTAAGGAAATTTTGCTGTTTTTGGTTATTATCTTGAATATTATTATAGATAGAGATAAACTGTAAACAGCAATAATGTTCAGCAAAGTAAGATTTACAAATAAGTCAATATAACCGAAATGGTCAGTTGACCCCTTTAGGAGTAATTGCCCTTTATAGTCAATTTTTAACCATTTTTCGTAAATCTTAGTCATCTTTTACAAAAATCTTCTCCTCTGAAACAACTGGGCCAAATTAAACCAAACTTGGCCACAATCATCATTGGGGTATCTTGTTTAAAAAATGTGTGGCGTGACCCGGCCAACCAACCAAGATGGCCGCCACAGCTAAAAATAAAACATGGGGTAAAATGCAGTTTTTGGCTTGTAACTCAAAAACCAAAGCATTTAGAGCAAATCTGACACGAAGTAAAATTGTTTATCAGGTCAAGATCTATCTGCCCTGAAATTTTCAGATGAATCGAACAACCTGTTGTTGGGTTGCTGCCCCTGAATTGGTAATTTTAAGGAAATTTTGCTGTTTTTGGTTATTATCTTGAATATTATTATAGATAGAGATAAACTGTAAACAGCAATAATGTTCAGCAAAGTAAGATTAACAAATAAGTCAACATGACTGAAATGGTCAGTTGACCCCTTTAGGAGTAATTGCCCTTTATAGTCAATTTTTAACCATTTTTCGTAAATCTTAGTCATCTTTTACAAAAATCTTCTCCTCTGAAACAACTGGGCCAAATTAAACCAAACTTGGCCACAATCATCATTTGGTTATCTAGTTTTAAAAATGTGTGGCGTGACCTGGTCAACCAACCAAGATGGCCGCCACGGCTAAAAATAGAACATAGGGGTAAAATGCAGTTTTTGGCTTTTAATTCAAAAACCAAAGCATTTAAAGCAAATCTGACATGAAGTAAAATTGTTTATCAGGTCAAGATCTATCTGCCCTGAAATTTTCAGATGAATCGAACAATCTGTTGTTGGGTTGCTGCCCCTGAATTGGTAATTTTAAGGAAATTTTGCTGTTTTTGGTTATTATCTTGAATATTATTATAGATAGAGATAAACTGTAAACAGCAATAATGTTCAGCAAAGTAAGATTAACAAATAAGTCAACATGACTGAAATGGTCAGTTGACCCCTTTAGGAGTAATTGCCCTTTATAGTCAATTTTTAACCATTTTTCGTAAATCTTAGTCATCTTTTACAAAAATCTTCTCCTCTGAAACAACTGGGCCAAATTAAACCAAACTTGGCCACAATCATCATTTGGTTATCTAGTTTTAAAAATGTGTGGCGTGACCTGGTCAACCAACCAAGATGGCCGCCACGGCTAAAAATAGAACATAGGGGTAAAATTCAGTTTTTGGCTTTTAATTCAAAAACCAAAGCATTTAAAGCAAATCTGACATGAAGTAAAATTGTTTATCAGGTCAAGATCTATCTGCCCTGAAATTTTCAGATGAATCGGACAACCCGTTGTTGGGTTGCTGCCCCTGAATTGGTAATTTTAAGGTAATTTTGCTGTTTTTGGTTATTATCTTGAATATTATTATAGATAGAGATAAACTGTAAAAAACAATAAATGTCGGCAAAGTAAGATCTACAAATAAGTCAACATGACCGAAATTGTCAGTTGACCCCTTTAGGAGTTATTGCCCTTTATAGTCAATTTTTAACCATTTTTTCGTAAATCTTAGTCATCTTTTACAAAAATCTTCTCCTCTGAAACTACTGGGCCAAGTTAATTATAGATAGAGATAATTGTAAGCAGGAAAAATGTTCAGTAAATTAAGATGTACAAACACATCACCATCACCAAAACACAATTTTGTCATGAATCCATCTGCGTCCTTTGTTTAATATTCACATAGACCAAGGTGAGCGACACAGGCTCTTTAGAGCCTCTAGTTTGTCATTGTCATAAGTGCTATTTTCAATCAAGGAATGCTTAAGCTCCCAGGATTCTTGTTACTTTCTTTGAATTCTTAATAAACCATTATAGTGCTTTTTGTCATTATCACAAGTGCTATTTTCAATCAAGGAATGTAGTAGTGTTGTACTGATTCCAACAATGTGCTCGAAACTGTAAAAAAATATAATGTCTTCTACACTACAGTAAATGATTACCTTAAATTTCACTAAGAAAATGTATTTTGATTGTTTGATATCAAAAAAATTATTGACACCCATTTTTTGATTTTTGATGAATATCTTACAATAACATCCAAAGGATTAGACTGCGAACCACATGCTTCCTCAACGTCAGACATGTGATCATCATATAGTTTGTGGGTTAAATTGTCAGATGCACTATTTACTTCTAATGAAACTGTGTTGTCTTTTCAATCTGTCATAACAACATTTTAAGATATGCTCCAAATATAATTAAATAAAACCAAAGAACACCACAAAGGGAAAAAAAATTGTTAATTAGCAGTGAATTTCTTGGAGCTCTTCACTCGACACTAGCCAGTAAGAGAATGAGGAAAGGCATATGGAAGATGCATTATCTTGGGAATAGATTAGTATGCTCCTTGAATGTGCCAAAATTATATGTATGCAAGTTACTATGTCAGGAACAATATAAGTTTGACAAAATTATGTGAAAACTTGAAATATTGTTATAGGCCATCAAGCACAGGACAAGTTTGAAATGCTTTTTTTTACTTGTTTCTGTTTTATGCTTCTTTTTAAAAATGAAGTAGGATTGGTTTTATTGCAAGTGAATCTTTCCTTTATTATGTGCTTTCATAATGTCAGGGCTAACTTGATTGTCTCATGAATTTGTACTTTGCTTGATTGAGTAAGTGTCTTTGATTTAGATGTATGTAAGAATTAAGAAGCCCTAGAAGTCTTCCATCTCTGCCTGCATGTGTTCAGACATTCTAAATGTCACTGAATAGTGCACAACCTATGATCTTTATTGAGATTTGTCATTTATTATTTATTTGATACATATATGTTTTTGTATTCACTGTCACCATCAGTTTTATTTTAAACATATTTCAAAGAATAAACCTGTTTCATTTTATTGTTTTGAAAGTTATTGTGGACTAATCATATTGTGCCATCAATTTATAATGTCATAATTGAATGATATTTCATAGAATATTGACTATAAATTTTATTATTATATTGTGACTCTTTTCATATTTGACTTCAGAGGACTTTTCAAACATTAATTATTTTACCATTATCATTGCATTATAATCATGTTATTGGTAGAACTGTGATGAAATATTTATATTTAAATACAAATGATATATATTTGATACTTTGTTATGTATTTTTGAATAAAACTAAGCTGAAATATGGTTTTAGTTTTATCTTCTTAATATAAGTTGAGATGATGTTAGTACACTTTATAATCAAGATTATCCTGCTATGATCCCTTTAAAAAATACTGTTTCAGTTGCTGGAGTTGGACCAAAACTCTTTATGGTTAGTTAGAACCTCCACTGCAAAACCACCAACTGTAGTGATCAGTATGTGTATCCCCAACTTTCCATCACAACTATTAAAAATGTTACTAAAGATTAAAATCATAAAAAAGAGACAGAAGAAAACTCATAAGCCAAAGAAAGACTGAAAAAATCATGCGGGGATAGCAGATCTTACTCCACATGTGGCACCTGTAGTGTTGCTCGTGGTAAATACAAATTCTGTGTTAAGTTTCATTAGGTGATGTCACAATTGAGGAAAGAGGATTGGTCTGTGAATTCCACAATTAGAACATATCCTTGGTCATCTGTGAGGTGGATATTGTATAAGGGTGAACCAACTCTTTACAATTTTGAACACCTATAAGTATCTTTATATGCTTCTTTCCCACTGAGTTGTTGATCTATGGAGATTACATATTGAACTACAATACTAGGCCAATGTTGTTCTGTATGATGAATTTCAATGAAAATTTGTGGAATTTTATTATGCCCCCGCCATAGCGGAGGGGGCATTAAGTTTAACCCTTGTCCGTCTGTACGTCCGTCCATACGTACGTGCATATGTCCGTACGTCCCAAAGTTGGTTTCCGTTCTCTAACTAGTTTGCCTCAACCAAATGTTACGAAACTTATACACATTGCTTATTACCACAAAACACAGATCAAGTTTGAATTTTGGTGGTGTCACTTTAACCATTCTAGAGTTATGCCCCTTTTAGAAATGGAAAAATTGCTGAATTTTTCGTTTCCATTCTCTAACTTAAGTTAGCCTCAACAAAATGTTATGAAACTTATATACAATGCTTATTACCACAAAATACAGATCAAGTTTGAAATTTGGTGGTGTTACTTTAACTGTTCTAGAGTTATGCCCCTTTACAAATGGAAAAATTGCTGAATTTTTCGTTTCCATTCTCTTACTTAAGTTTGCCTCAACCAAATTTGATGAAACTTAAACACATTACTTATTACAACAAAACTAAGATCAAGTACAAATTTGGGTAGCGTCACTTTTACCGTTCTTCAGTTATGTCCCTTTATAACTTTATATGATATGCAATCGGGGGCATCATCTGTGTCCCATGGACACATTCCCCATTTATTCTTTTTCTGTATCCTAGAGAATCAGGCACATTGGGGAATTCACATGATTT